TCATTAGCACCTTTTGTGAAAGTGACGTCATTAAATGCTTAGATTTAGTGGAATTGCATGAACCATAGACATCTGACTGAAAATCGGAATGGTGCAAATCGATGCTAAATTTAGTTTCTTTACAACCCTTTTAATGAAAATGGATTAAAAAACGAAAAAAAGATCACAGTCAAGAGATGTTGGTAAAGACTATCTGGTAGAAAGTATGCTTGTTTATTTCTTTCTTGACAAAAAGTGGATTTTACACCAGCTAAAAGGATCTCTAAGAACCAAAGAAAATGCTTGCGTCCTTCGCTTAAAGCATAAATGTAATTAAATGAATATATCCCTTGAATTTATAACTGTCCAGATCTCAATTATGAAACCAATTTCCAATGTATAGTTCAATCACAAACAATGTCAATGTCATGCCAAGTTTATTGACATACCGACATGCAACTGTCATCAGACAATTGACCATTAATCATTCTGCCAACTTTGTACAAGTACTATAAAATAGCCAGACATGGCTGTGCTTTAATTTCTTCCAGTAGATTGATTTCTAGATATAAGTTTTACGTCCTGGTAGATTACAGCTACTACTATCAAAAGCAGGGATAATGGAGTTTTAAAATTCATGGTGCACCATTTTGGGGGGTTGATTTTAGTCTTGAATATATGTTAATGGTCTTCAGAAGTACCAGAAATGTACGTCGTTAAACTTCAAACTAGGAATTTTACTCACTATTTCTATATATTCTAGATATGTCTTTTCTATATATCACAGAGTATCTTAAATTGACAAGTCGTCATTTTAACATTCCAACGTGGATAATTCAGGACACTCATGGATTTGAAGTCTCAAATTTCGACGGTGAGCTTTGAACACTATTACTGATTGGTTTATTTGGAAAATTCCTGTTTCTGAGACTAAAGTATGATTGGTCTAAAAAATGATGCACCTGTCCCTTTAAGTTTAAGAAGGGTAGAAGACCATGGGTGTAATTTAGTTGAGAATATTGCAGTGCTCTGCTTTTTTTCAAATAGAAATGACTTTATAAGGAGTTTAATGTCTATAATTGTGTACTGAGAGAATAAGGGAAATTCTGTTGGGATAATGGTTTTCCCTCTCTGTTTTGACATCCTGGCATCAAGGTACCAAGATTGTATATGCTGATAAGAAAGTTAAGGGGGTAGGGAGTGGCTTTGTTACTCATATGTAAATTGGCAAGGCACTGCAAAGCAAGTTGTATGAATATAAACAAATCATAACCTATTCAACTGACACTTATCCACCCATTATTCTCAGGAGTGACAAGGAAAGATCATTATTGACAGAAATGATTACTTTGGATATGAAATTGGTATGTAATTAATAATCATTGAAAGAAGAAAATTGACCAGAATATGGTAAACTGACAGTAACCTTGACTAGAAACTTGCTGTAAACAATCTTTTGTCTTATTGAGAGGTTGAGGCTTAGTCCTTCCTCATTAGTGTGCTCTATTGAACTAGGAGACAGAGCTGTTGCTTTATAACTGGGCTGGAGATATTTATCTTCATAAAGAGCTCAAAAAGTACCTGATCTTTTAATTTGAAATAAACCAGCTATCTGGTCTATTCTCGTTTGTAAAGTACTCTGTACCTTTCTCGTAGGCAGAGGGGCTTTGGCTTTAAAGTGGGTTGGAGATATTTATCTCACAAGAGCTCAAAAAAACTTCTTTAGACCTACTCTTTAAATTTGCCATGTTCTTTTCGAGTTGTCCTATGTATCTTCACGCGAAATTGCTTCAAGAGCGAACCAATGATTTTAACTACTTACATTGGACTTTGAAGTACGCTTTTAGCCAATTCCACAGGAAAAGAATACCCTCTGCCTTTGTGCGAGATCCATTTCATTACTCTGCACTGTCCTGGGATCGGGTTATCACAGCACTGCAGGGGGTCAGTCATCTGGCTGACAGCGATGTCTGTCTTCTAGAGCCAAAATAATTTCAAACCACCGAGGTTTAAGCCTGTTAACTCATCTCAATAAGATATGTTCAGATATCAATTCAGGCGGGAACATTTCAAGGTCGTAACATTCAAGGTCGACCTTTTTTTTACTTTGCATGATTGGGAGTTTAAATTGCATTGTTTGCGATAATCCGGTGAGTTATACTTAATTTCTCTTCCCCTTGTAAATTGGATGAGTCGTGGTCATAGTAAAGGGACTATTTGACTAACTAGTGTTCAAATTATGTCACTGTTGTTAAGAAACAATCTGACCTCTCTAAATTGACAAGATCTTGACTGTTATTTCACAATTACTCAGTTAAAATTTGAAAAAACTTAGAATTTTCATCGAATTTATACACCGATATATCTTGCATTTGAAATAAACAATTACCATTACAGAAATGGCATAAAATATAATTTTAAGTTTTTTATTAATATGATAACTGTTAGGCCTACTAGCATTAGACTAGCCTATGTCACTATGTGATCCAAAAGCCACTATTAGTGACCACGGTGTATCCTTACAATATATTCTATTTTTACAATCACTTTCACCTTACGATATACTTTAGTGTAGACCTGTTAAACACATCATAAGTCATGGTGCCAATATTGCCGGAGAATTCTTCAAAAGTCGGAGCCATAACTATAGGGACTTTTTTATATGAGGCAAATAATTATCAAATAATCGATATATTTAGTTGATTTTAAAATTTATACTTATATTTTTCAGTTATTAAACAAAATTCCTTTTCTGTAAAATTCCTTAAGAGGTAGGCTGAAAGTCTTGCGAAATTATTTTGCGCTTATCTTTGACAATTTTGACCATGTATGGTCAAAGGCCTTAGCCTAAATGAATTATTTTTATAAATCAAGAGAAGTTAAATATAGCCCAGACTCCAACGCTAACTTCATCAAGGCGAATTCTTTTTTTTTATAGTGTAAAATATGAACGACCAAGTTTTATGAGGTGCAGCCATGATATAACATTGGCCTCTCACCCTTCAGTTTTGACCAGAGAGACAAGGTCCTACAATCAGGTATTTTATTTTGATCATAACATACTTTTTGCATAGATATTTATTTCGTTATAAATTGATTAGTTTCAGCAGGGAAACAATCAATATCGTTGGTAAACAGATAGGTGAATTCGGCAAATTAAGAAAAAATGAAGTTCAAAACACCTCCGACGGGACTCGAACCCGCAATCCCCGGCTTAGGAGGCCGATGCCTTATCCATTAGGCCACGGAGGCATGCAGTTGAAATTGTTTGTTTCCGTTTATAAGCCGAATTGTGATTGGTTGAAATCTACCAACCGTTAGACGGCGCTATGATTCAAGATGGCGACTTACTGAAAACAATACAGAATATTATTATTTCGACAGAAAATCAAGTTTATTGAGGAATTGTAGTGTAAATCATGCCGAGAAATAGAAGTAGATCGCGATCCAGGGGTATGGAATCCATCTAGTTTGATTTACTTCCAGTCGTGGGAAAGATATCGCGAGATTTTCATTGAAAAAATTATCTTTTCATATTTGGGAATTATCAGTCTTATCATTTCTTCTCCGACTCCAATCTTGATTTTTATTAAATAAACCATCCATTTTCCATGCACGTTGGAGAGCCCTTTAATACATTCTAAGTAACATAGCTCTATCTTGGACTGTTTTGAAAGAAATTTCATCGGTAAAGCAGTAGGCTACCGGTAGGTGAGAGTCCAACGAAAAATAGCTAGAGTATATGAGTAGGCCTATGAGTATGAGTTTAAGTATTTCGATACTTTTACATTTCAGAGAGACGAAGATCTAGATCACGAGATAGAGAGATGAGGAGAAGACATGGAGATCATGCCAATCATGGTGTGTACATACTTCTTTATTTCACAGCTTGGCTATAGCAAGCCTATTTGTAACTATACATACATTCATTCTTAATCTTAACCTTTGAAAAATGGTTACATAAGCTTAGATTTTGACTGAATTTTATTCTTTACAAAAGTCATAAAAGATTTACCTTCAATTCCTTTAGCGCATATCCTTAATTTCTTTCGTTTTCATTAATAAATTTGGTTACTCTTTATTTAAGAATCACATAAACGACACAGATCTCGGTCACCACAGGCTTCCAGAAGAAGGTGAGTTGACGCCTGATGGCAATTCATTAGTTAGGTAGGCCTATAAAATTGTGACTTGAAGATTATCTGCATTTAAATCGAATGTCTGCATTTGCCTAGGACTATAGTTCCAGTAAGTTTTTTGTCTGTTCTTCTTACTATGTTGGTTTATAAAAGAATACTTGATGCAGACGCAGCAGCAACTGAGTCTAGCCAATAAAAGATGATTATATGAATACCAGCATGGCCCTGCTACCAGTGGCAGTGCCAGCCTCCTGAAACTGGGGATACTAATATGTTACAGACTGAATGGGGGACGACTGTCGAGGCTGATTCAATATGTGGCAACACTGTGTTTTCATAGTTGCAAGCCTCGCATGGAGTATCTGAAAGGGTTTTCCCAAGAAAATGTTTGGTTGTTTATGAGTGGCAGCTGGGTGAAATGTCCCAGATTACCTGCTACTCACTTAAATTTCACTTAAATGGGTTCCCCCGCTAGATATTACCAGGCCCTCGTTTGCCTTTGATTCAAAATTGAGGCCATTGAAGATTGATTTGTAATTTCAGGTCAAGATCACCTAGAAGAAGGTCAAGGTCAGGATCTAGAGAGTAAGTAAATAAAAAGGTTTTTGAAAAAATAGTGTAGTCAACCAGTCAACCAAAACTAAGTGCTTGATTAGCTTTGACCCAGGATCTTCAAAACCTAGGCCCCTTTCTACAAAAAACCTTACAATTAATTTCGTCACAAGTCTGGTATTTCTCAATGTAAATTTCCGGGACAAATTTTTGTGGAACAGGGCCCAGGCCACAAGTCCTATTCTTCAGTCTTATAGTTAATGATTTATTTGGGTTTTTCATTGAAATTAATCATAATCCTAAAAATAATTTAACTTTGATAACAGATACGAGTCTAAAGGGAAAGCCGCACTACCTGACAGACCAAAGATTGATGAGGCTCAGTTAGAAGGGATGACAGAGGAAGATGCTGATATGATGAGAACTATGGGATTTGCTGGTTTTGATTCAACTAAGGTATGTACTGTTGGTGTAAGAATTATTGATTTTGAGAATGGCCTGTAGCTTAGTTAGATAGAGTGTTAAAATCTTAATATTACATCATTTGCTGGTTCTAATCATGCATGATATGTAAATGTTGTGACCTTAAATAGGTCATCTTTCCCCTTTATTCTAGTTGACCCAACTGTAATCCTGTAGAATTCTGATGATTTTGAATGAATTGTAGTTGTAATCCTTGTAAAGAATTTTCATAACTTTCTACTATTTTCTACTTTAATCCCGCACCGAACATCGCACATCGTCTTTTCTCAGCTTTAGTATATTTTGGCCTAACTTTACAACAGGCTTGGTAAATTGTATGCAATGTTAAAACTTTCCTAATTGTCTATTTCAGGGAAAACAAGTAGATAACAATAATATATATGTAGCTAAACTACAGCAGAAACGACGTTATAGACAATATATGAACAGACGGGGTGGCTTCAATAGACCACTGGACTTTATTGCCTGACACCTTCCATTTCTGTCGAGGCTTTTATCACCTGTACATACACCTAAAGATATTTTGTATTTTTAAGAGTTCCTTCACTTATTCATGCATAACACAACTTAAAAAGATGTGTTCAACATATCTCTAACCACTCATTGCCATGGTATATAACCATGGTTTTGATAACTCATAAGATCAGTTGATTCAAAAGGTTTGGACATTATTTTTAAAAGGATGCAGTCAGATCTAGAACAAGTGGAGGTACCAATGTAGATCATAATATCTAGGGTTGTATTTTCAGTGAAAATCAACTGATCACTTTGTTGTGTAAATCTGTTGAATTAGTGGAACTTGGACAACTCCAATGTGTTCTAGAACTTGATCCAAGAATTGAACTTGTCAAGGAAAGTGTAACAATATGTATTATATGGTACAAGGGAGACTACTCTTGTTTGTTTTTCAAGAATTCGGACTGCAATTGATTAGTGTTATGTGCACTAATGATAAAACATCATCTCTTCTTGAAAAAATGAAATGAATCTAGTTTTATTGCTCTTCTGGAATAAGATAGAATTATATGCTTGAGGCATTGACTTGTTTTAACACATATTCCAAACACAAAATAAATATTATATGATTCTTAGACTAAAAAATTGAGGTCGTTTAATATGTATATCGTTGTAAATGTTTAAAAGATGAAAATAAAGAGATTTTGTTTAATTGATGTTTTCTTGATATATATATCAGAATGCAGGGAACCACTGGAACAATGAAATAGGCTCATGTCGACTGACTTCTTTGTCGATCATATCGAGTTATTTGTCCTTGGCCGATTAAAGGAGCAGATCTCTTGGCTCGGTCGTTTTTACCAAATAGAACAGGGGCAATCACAATACACTCAGGTTGATGGATCCACAGATGAGGGGAGTTGCTTGCTTGAAAATCCACTTGCTTTCAGATACTGCTAGCCACAAATATATGTAAAGGTTAAAGGCCTGATATCTTATGACCTCTGTGCCTCGTATTATTACTGTGAAGGGGATGCTCAGTTATGGCCCTTCAATAATTGATATGATGGACAAAATCAGCTGTAGGATCCATCAGAATTCGGCTTATTGGGCTTCTTTTGTAAGCGCAGTTTTTACTATGACGTTACAAGTGAAAAAACGTCACACTCGCAGATTTTACTTTTCAAGTGAAAGTCACGCTGCTAGTTTTCAGAGAAAAATCACTGAAATTTTAGCAATTTCAACATATTCCGAAAGAAAAAGATGACTATTCTGTAAGTATTTATATTCTTTTTCCACTGTGTAATAAACAGCATTAAAATATTATGTAATATTTATAACAAAAACTGCGAAAAAGGGAAGATTTTGACTGAGAAATTCGTTCTTGCTGATAATGTAGTTTAAGCTTGCAAATAAGATGTAAAGGAACTTTTACACGATATTGGCACCATTGATGCTTGTCAGTCATGGTCCGAAAAACAACCAGATCCAGACTGTCGTATAACAGCAGAATCGCTTGGCAGTTTTATTTGACTTTCAGTCAGACTGCTACATGCATCGTCAAAACGTTTAGTCACAAAAATATAATGTTTCACATGAAAACAACGTGGTTTAAATGTATTATACGAAACACTTTGTTTGGTGCTTAGATGACATTTGTCTAAACGCAAACTAAATTGCAAATGTTTCCAAGTAGGCCTACGATGAATGTGTACTTAACCCTAATTTAAATTTTTTTTGAGGTATCATTTGCCCATTCCTGCCTTGAATCAGAAGACGCATTTTGTATATCTATAAAGCTTTAGAATTAAATAGCTCTTTCTTATTTCATTTTAATGGGAGATTTTGTTTTAAATAACCGGAATAGAACCGGAAGATGGGGCGGGGCTTGTTTCTGAGGGAACTCCATTGTTTTCTGTTCACTTATATCTATTATGACGTCATAATGAACATAACGTCAAATTGGTCTAAAAGTCATTAGCTTTTGGATTTTTCAATACGAAAGCAGCGTTTCAACACTTTTCTGCATATTTTTGCTCGAATAAGTTTAAAAATTGCGAAACATCATGGCTATCATGTAAGTAAATCACATGTTCTTTTTAAACTGTTATTTTACAATGGTCTGTGGAAGTGAAAATCTAAAATTTTAATATCGAACTTAATGTTCATATATCTAAATTTCAGATTACCAGTCATAAGCTACGTAGTGGATGAGATCTTATTGGAGTTTCTATCAAAGAACCAATATGGAGACCAACTCTCCGCTAGTAATGGTACGTGTAAATTTTATGGTTAAATTTTTAAAATATCAGTAACCGATTTCCTTAGTAACAATATTTTGTTTCTGCGTCTGCTGGTCAAACTTTGGTATTAGTTACCGATTATCCACTTTGAAGGTTGGAAAGAAACTTATTTTCGCAATAAAAGATTTTGTCAATCATACTATTGTAGTAAACAATAAAATATTTTATCTTTTCAGATTTTGGTGCAAACCAAAACAATAACAACAACAACAAAGACGACAATAACAACAACAAGAAATCCTCCCAGGATGATTTTAAAGAAGATGTATTCAACTGGGCTGATGAACCATGGACTCCCTGTGATGATGTTGAGGTTCCTGACTGGGCCAAGATGGAAGGTAGGTCCAGTTATATGGAATTTTGCCACCCCCCCCCCTCCTCCCCCCCTCACCTTGAAATTCAGCCAAACGGATTCGATCTCAGGAAACTTACATTTAATTAAAGGTTTCTTAAATTACCTTTATTTTTTTTCAGATCTAACGACAGACGACTTCCAATCGGAGTTGATATGGGCAGAGGACCCATGGACCCAGGTACCACTCGTTGGTCTTCCATCATGGATGTTGCTTCCCGGGATCGACTACCCTGTAGAAACAGAAGACCCCGTGGTATATACTCCAGTCAATGGCGAAGATGATGCTGCATTTTTAGCATCTGGTATAGATATTGCAAACTGGAGCGACGAACCATATTTCCAGTTACCTCTAGATGTACCAAGATGGGCCCTGTTGCCCGGCATCGACTTTCCAGTTCACCGCGGAAACAATAGCCCCTATTGGAAGTATAAACTGAACGATTATTTCATCGTGCGAAGACAATTCCGTAGAAATATAAACAAGTCGAAATTCCATATAATAAAGGAAGGGAACAGTGTGGCTCTTTCGATCCAAACAATTCAAGCCAGACAAATCGCCATGAGGAATTTAAGGAAATCCAATAAACAGTGAAGACTTTTCGACACATACCTACCTTATCACATTGGTTATATGCCTATATTGATATTGGGTATAATATATTGCACATTTCATATTCTGTATATTTTGGACTTTGTTTGGCATCAAATAAATTATTTTGTATTGACACAATCAACATTGTTTTCTTTAATCACTGATAATAAGTTGCCCAAAACAGACGAATCAGTGGAGACGCCAGGTTCCGGGATTCGGGGGTATTAGGGGGCTGAATTGCTTAATGGTGGGGCGGGGGCAATCGTCAGGATTGTAATTAGACACGGAAGCGCAGTGTCGCAAGCGTTCCATGGAGGGTAAATGGAACAATTTTGAAAAACACCCCTTCTCAAATCCCTGTATTCCTATTGACACCACCATGAACAGAGGTTGGATGAAGTTCTTTAGTACCTTTCTTCTGTATAATGATACGGTCAAGTAATGTGGGCGCATTGCGAATCCTGTTTTGAATCCCGCCAATCCAGATAAAAATGACAACAATATTCGGGTGAGGAAATACCTCCTAATTATGGAAGTTATGCTTCTGCAAAGAGGGGAACTATTCAGACAACAAATGAAGAACAGAGTTTGTTACATACAGGAACCCATCCCTAGGAAAGAAACCTCAGTAGCAAAGGGAATGCTTTAGCGAATTTGTGGGCACCAATTATCACATTGATGATATTAATTCTGTATTGACTTTACTACACACAGAACAACTAGTTAAATATAGAAAGGATAACATATTTTAATATATTAACAATATTCTAACTGCCGTACAATACCGATAGATCCATATAGATTTTATATGATACAGTGGACCAACTACCATGATAGGGCCTGGTTGAACCAAGGGCCCTCGCCTCTAAGGGACCACCAGTAAAAAAATCAATAATTAAAATAAAATTGAATAAAAACAACATAGAAATCGAGGAATGTAAGAGAGTTTATGTTAAAAAATATTTCCCGGGGAGGAACACCAACCCATCGTGTTGAGCCACTGATCTTAGAACGTTGCATTAAAGTTTCAACTAAATCTTGCAGTTATGATCCCAGTCTTACATGAAATAAATCTCACGAACGTAGTTCATAACCATCTTGAATCTCTTCTTTGATTTGATAAGTCGAATTTTGATAAAGGCTAGAATATTTAAACAAAGCCTTCAAATCAGATTAAAGGGTTCAGAAATGGCTTGAAATTTGATTTGAAGGCTTTGTCGAATATTAAAGCCTTTTCAACAATTCGAGGTAGAGACGCAAAATGGCTGTGAATTACGCTCGTGTGTGTTATTTCCGCGTAAGAACCATACGTAGTTTGTTATTTCCACGTAAGAACCATACGTAGTTTGTTATTTCCACGTAAGAACCATACGTAGTTTGTTATTTCCACGTAAGAACCATACGTAGTTTGTTATTTCCACGTAAGAACCATACGTAGTTTGTTATTTCCACGAAAGAACCATACGTAGTTTGTTATTTCCATGAAAGAACCATACGTAGTTTGTTATTTCCACGTAAGAACCATACGTAGTTTGTTATTTCCACGTAAGAACCATACGTAGTTTGTTATTTCCACGTAAGAACCATACGTAGTTTGTTATTTCCATGAAAGAATCATACGTAGTTTGCTATTTCCACGTAAGAACCATACGTAGTCTGTTATTTCCGCGTAAGAACCATACATAGTTTGTTATTTCCGTGTAAGAACCATGCATAGTTTGTTATTTCCACGTAAGAACCATACATAGTTTGTTATTTCCGTATAAGAACCATACGTAGTTTGTTATTTCCATGTAAGAACCATACGTAGTTTGTTATTTCCATGTAAGAACCATACGTAGTTTGTTATTTCCATGTAAGAACCATACGTAGTTTGTTATTTCCACGTCAGAACCATACGTAGTTTGTTATTTCCGTGTAAGAACCATACGTAGTTTGTTATTATCATGACAGAACCATACGTAGATTGTTATTTCCACGTAAGAGCCATACGTAGTTTGTTATTTCCATGTAAGAACCATACGTAGTTTGTTATTTCCACGTAAGAACCATGCGTAGTTTGTTATTTCCACGTAAGAACCATACGTAGTTTGTTATTTCCACGTAAGAACCATACGTAGTTTGTTATTTCCACGTTAGAACCATACGTAGTTTGTTATTTCCGTGTAAGAACCATACGTAGTTTGTTATTTCCACGTAAGAACCATGCGTAGTTTGTTATTTCCACGTAAGAACCATACGTAGTTTGTTATTTCCACGTAAGAACCATGCGTAGTCTGTTATTTCCATGTAAGAACCATACGTAGTTTGTTATTTCCACGTAAGAACCATACGTAGTTTGTTATTTCCACGTTAGAACCATACGTAGTTTGTTATTTCCACGTAAGAACCATACATAGTTTGTTATTTCCACGTAAGAACCATACATAGTTTGTTATTTCCGTGTAAGAACCATACGTAGTTTGTTATTTGCTTGTAAGAACCATACGTAGTTTGTTATCTGCTTGTAAGAACCATACGTAGTTTGTTATCTGCTTGTAAGAACCATACGTACTTTCGTCTGGTATTCTCCCAAGAAAGTCAGAGATGAATAATAAGACAGTTTTAAATCACGACCAGTCTATCTCGAGTACTATGATTTGAAAAATATTTTTGCCCCACCAAACTTTTCACAATGATTTGACCTTACTAGTAGAGGTATAGGTTGAAAGTGGTTGTGAAAACATGCACGATGTTATTGAAAGCCCTATACCAGTGAAAAATCAACATCTAAAAGTTTTCTTTGGTGAAGTCAAAACCAAATTTGTCACTTTTTTCTTTCAGATCTTTAGCTAAGGCTTGTGGACCACATAGAAATACTTTCACCTTCCCTGCTTTATTTTGCTTTATTTCACCGAATAACTGAAAGAAAGATACAATTGATCCTGAACACCATCAATGAAAATTGAAAATTGAATAAAAACGTACGAGGAAGACAATCCTGTAAATCAAATTATCGCCCAAAGTATGACAAAATCTAGAGTAAAGGTTGTATAGTAGTGGACTGTGGCCAAAGAGATGTACCTCAGTGTTTCGGAAAGAGTAAGCATGGTCTGTCACTACTATATAGGTCAATATCACGATAACTCTTACAACGATCTCGTGATGATATTGATATGAACCCCAAATTCCAAACTTTCGACAATAGTTCCAGTAGTCCTCTCACCTACACATTTTTTTTTATTCGAGTAGCAATTTGCTGTTATAAACACGAATATTTTGGGGGTCTCGTTGGAAAGCAATAAAGGTCTCCCAAAATCGTTGAATTTTCGCACAGCAATCGCACTGGTACCTTTGGGGTCCCATGGGAAAGAAATATGATTGTTTTGGGAGAAAGATACTATCTGCCCTCCTAAGCACTTTGGGTTCTTTTCCTACGACTATGGTCATGCACCTACCTCATCAAAATTTGGTCTTCCGGCGTGCGTTCTAGTGCGTAACCCGGTCAAAACATCTCGATGTTCCTTCGTATGTAACAGCTCCAAGGCCATCTGCAATCCAAGCCCTTTCATATCTGTTTTCGATAGGGCACTTGTCATGTACATATGCATATGAATGATTCGTCCAAATTTGTCATAATTAGCTTGCTCTACTTCGATATCTGTTAACATTCGCACGAACCACTCAAAATTCTTCTGATCTCGATTGATCCAAATAAAATCAACCTGAAAACATACAGCGCACCTTAGTTCAATTTAGATGATAGCCTGTAACTGTCCACGAAACAGATTAAACTAGAGAACAAGGAAAGGGAAGGAAATATATAGAGAAAAATACAGGAAAAATATTACAAATAAGGTTTATATCCTTTTAGCAGCTAGTCCAAATTATTAGTACTTTCCTGAATAGTTCGAATTAACCCTTGGAATACCCTACAAACAACAGTATGGTGGTTTTTTAAATCCTATTCTCCCTAGCTTACCCTTTTTATTTTCATGCCAGGACCTCTCTGATCATAAAACGAATGTTGACATTTCGGACAGGTTCTGGTAGCTGATTGAAAGCGGTGTAAGATACTTTGTAATATAGAAGCAAACGGTGTCACACCAATTCCAGACCCTACCAAAACTGCATGCTCTGTATCAAATATCTCTCTTGCAGAAGTACCAAATGGACCATCAATATATATCTTGAATAAACAGATAAAGGTATGTAGTTTGATACTCTTCCAATAACCGTATACTTGCGATTATAATACGCAGCCTTTTAATTGCACATAATAAGTAATACGAATGAAAAAATCAGATACAAATTTAATAGCAAGTAAATTGGTATAAAATACATGTATATTTAGGCGTCTACAAAATTTAGGAAGTTGTGATAGTAGCAATACATACTTAATGCAGGGCACCATTAGGGAGAAGTTTTGTATAAACGGTATGGGGGACGGAAGAGATCGTATAGGCATCCAATGAAATAAGTAAGTTTGTAGCTTACCTTGACACGCACTATTTTACTCATCGGTTTCGTTGTTTTGAGTTGGTCTGTATTCTGAAAAATAACAACAAAACATTTTGGATTTTAATTACGAATTACATTTTTATTTGCACCATTTGATCTGAATCGTTTTTTCGGAGTTACAGAAACGATAGACGTCAGAAACTATAAGTATCTCTGATACATTCAAAGGCTAGATTTCTTCCTGCGATCAGCCAATGAGAATAAGGCAAATAAAGTGTAAATTAAATGCAGATCTGTATATTCCGCTCCGTCAAGGTTTAAAAAAAGAATATCCCCGAGCGTCTCAAGTCTCATGGGAATCTTTTAGTGAATAGAGCACTTGATTGGTTGAAAATAAAATAACACAGAACACGAGATGCAAAACACTTTCGTCAGATCATGGTTGGTTTATTCTACTTTCACTGCTAAAATCGCGTTAGATGTATTCTCCGCTTTCCTAGGTTAGAAAATTTTCCCTGACTCCACAAAAGGCAGCAGAGGAGCTCGGAAGGCCAATCAACCCAACCCAACCCCCATCAATGAAATCCTGACTACGCCACTGTGAATGAATTATTTAATGTTTTATCCGTACCCCTGTAGATGATAATCTTCTGTACGTCCCTTCTTCAATTGTGCCGCCAGCTTCCATGACATCTAAACCAAAACCTGCAAACCAACATTCACACCCACAATTATAGTTCAAAATAGTTTTAAAAGGACAGGTGGGTTCGCCATCCGTTTGACCAATCGTACATTAAAGAACTCATATCATATACAGCACATGTATAGAAAAGACATATAGAAAAAGAAAGTGAAATTCCTTGTTTATGCGATTTTCGTACATTTGATACATTTGCATATATTCACAAACCGAATCAATCCCAAAAATGGCGAATATGTCCCTTTAAGAAATACTGAAAGTTTTTTGGTATTTGACAAGCTTTGATCTCGTGAAAAAGGTATAAGAGACCACATCGTAGTTACCTATAGTACTCCGCGGTACCCCAAAACACCAGTTGACCTACCTTTGTTAAATGTACCATACTGATAAGTATTCGGGTCATAACTGTCGAAATAATCATACAGTTTATTTGTCCAGTGGCCTGCTGATCGTATATGTAGCCAAAATGTCCCTGGAAAGGAAATGAAAGGGAATATACGTCTGATTGTTGTTCTGTTGATAGCGATAATGAATTAGAATGGAGTTTTACGACCAACTGATCTACTTTTAAAGAGGTATGACATAACCTTTCAAATTGGGGAAATAGTTGTCTGAAAAAAACAACAACTCAATATTCCAATCATAGTGTGAAATCTGACATTACTTTGCATCTTTCCACATCAAATATTGTGACAGTTAATAAGGTAACCATGGAATGGCTATAGACACAGACAGGTGCCCGTGAGGATACTAAGCTTTCTCCGGACAATGAACTGCACCCGTCAAGGACTGAGTTGCTCTGATTTGTATTCAAAGTTACCTTCCTGTTCAGGTGCGCTGCTGATAGTAAAAGGATGCCATTCATATTTGGCTATAGCCGGTATCTGAATAAACACATAATCTCCAGGTCGGTATCTCCATTTTGGAGGTCGAGATATCACTAAATGGATGACCTACAAAATTGATTGACATTACAAAGAATACAATAGTAAATACCATTCAAGACAAATGATCGCCATGGTCTGACCGAGACTGGCTAACACCCAGGCCGTTGGATAGAAAATGGGAAATGGAGCTATTCTAAAGGCATGACTGGAGGATGCTGAGGTTGAGCTACCCGAACTGGCATTCGTAGTATTGGACATAATCTGTTTTTATAATATTACAGAAACCACATAAGGGGGTGAGAAATTGTCAGGGCACCGTTAGGAGCTATATATGCACCCAATACACATAGGCTACAAAATCTCTTTCAATTCCTTTCATTCCTACACTCTCCAACAATTATTTGCTTAATACATTGTTATCTCCCCTGATCAAATAGGATAAAATACTTAGATATTGGTCAGCTGTTCTTACCCTATATGGTAGAAGATACACATTGGTTATATACGTCGCACCATAGGCCGCCTTTTTGATGTATTTGGATCGATTCAAAGACTCAATTATAAATATAATTCCGGGAATTATGAACCAGTACCAGAAATTTGTAGCGTGGAGAATGCACAGGATCCAGAATGGTACGTACAGAATGTGAGTCCAGTAGAATACCTACAAACAGAGATCATACATTGAATGTCCTAATCATCAGAGATAGGAATGAATACTGGGATCTGGGATCTGGTACCTAGCCAGTATGCGAGTCGGACAGAATATCTGGAGAAAAAACTAGAGGTACGGGTGATGTGAAGTCATGAAATGTAAATAAAATGAAGTTTTGCACCCTACCATAGAGCTAATAAAGAAGAAGAACACTAAGCTAATATTCCTTACTTGAAAATGCCCAGACCGTCTAATAAATGGCATGGAGCAGATTATCATCACAATTAATATAACATCTAATATAACACCGGACAGGGGTGCGAACCCTAGAACCCAGCCAATGTTTGCTTTTGTAGTAAATATGAACTCCCAGACTGTCACTCCAAAATCTTCAGCTACCACAACTATTCAGAAAAAACAAAATAACATGGAGAAAATCATAATTACACATTCCATTCTCAGGAACAAATTGGTCAAACTATATGCGGGGACTATTTAAGAGATATAATGCTGAGTTGAAATCAAAAGCTGAAGAGCCCTAAATTATAACTGTAGCCCACAAAACTCATCCCTTTTACCTTCGTTTGAAGATTTTCTTTCCGGTGACTCATTCCTAAGATAAAAGTTTTACCTGCGTTGCCAATGTGAGCCAAGGTATGAATAACAGTAAACACCGCAATCATAATACCAGTTAATTTGTGCATCTCTATATGTTGATCAAGGGGAAGAAAATGTAAGTTTTTAAACGTTCTTATATATGTGATGGTCTTTCGTAGCATAGTCATTAATATAAAAGCACAGTTGAAATTCAAACACATGCCGCAGCCTCGAGCAATGATGATGTACACATTTGATTTACGATATAGAAAACAGTTGAGAGCAAATAAACATATATTGATGAAGAAATACAGAAGAAATAAAACCCCTTCCTTTCGATTATTTCTCCAGTATTTCAGCGTAAAATATCGGCACGCTCTTGTGTTCTTTTTCGGTTTTGGAGGCCTCAACCAATGAGCAGCACTGGAAGATATAAAGCACGTGATCAATTTCCATGTGATCAATTTAAACAAGCCAAAATTCATACATGATTACGATGTAAATTGTTGAAACGTTGTGTACAATAAAACTCCATATAAACAAATGATGACAATTAAGAAACAACAGTTTTTATGGATATAGACTTCTAATAATAAATAGAAGTCTATATCCATAAAAACTGTTGTTTCTTAATTTGCTGTGATACTTCTAAATGTCTTACAAGGACTAAATGATGACAATGAAAACTAAATTGTTGAAACTTTGGGTACCATAAATCCGACGAGTAGGACACCATATAAACTGATGTTGTCAATGTAAATTGTTGAAACGTGTACAGTCAGGAGTAGTATAGGCTTACTAATGTCCGTTATTTAATGCAATTATAGTAATATTAAAGAATATTTTAAATCAGATTTCGACTCACCTTATTGTTAAATTTTCCATAACACCGGGATGTTTGTCCAGCTCAGTCTTAAGTTCGTCAAAACTAATGAGACCACTCTTATCCTCATCGGTCGATTGGAACATGACCGAAATGAGTTTATTCATGTCTGCCTCGCTGACACTAAGTGAACTCTCGTCGACACAGGACTGAATCACTGTTCTTAACTCAGCTTCATCAATCGAACCATTTCCTTAAGAGAGAAAATATCTTCACAATGCCAAGCGTTTACAAACGGCGTCTTATACATTGACTGCAATGCCACTTTTCGCGTATATAGAGTTTGTAAATGCAGTTATTCGATTGGATTGTACGCCAGCGAATACAGTCAATCATAGCCCCGGACAGAAAAACTAGATGGCTCTGGCATTCTGAATTCGCTAAGTAAAATCTTTAAATTGAATATTTACTATGTTTAAGATAAATTCCTTACCATCAGCATCATAAACGTCGAAGAGAAATTTCAGTTTACTGATATAGTCTCCCTTGATGACTAATCTTAGACCTCGCATAAGTTCTTCCAAATCAATCGCCCCACTCTTGTCGTTATCAAATAGTTCAAAAAATCGAGTTGCAAAGAATGACTGAAACATCAAAAATATTTGAAAATTATAAACGAACAGTGAGAACAAATCGTTTAATGAAGGACTACTTCGCTTATAATACATCTCATCATCTTCACAGTGTCAAGCTATTACGAACTGCGTTTTATACCTTGACTGCAATAGCCACCTTGTTGTATTACTGAATGTAGCAATTTGATGGGATTGTAGGATAGAGAATACAGCCAGTCGGGGGCCTTTACATAAAGACTGTAAACATTATGGTGTACAGTCTTTCTGTCGAGCTCTATGATTGGCTGTTTCGCTGACATACATTCCAATCCAATCACTGCATTCCGTGATACAAGAAATATGGCTATTGCAGTCAAGGTATAAGACGAATAGTTTCACATTGTGAGGATTGATTTGAATAAAAGTAAATACATGTATCACTTTTTACATTTTACTGCCATTTAAAAAAGAAATGATGTAAATTGTAACTTCCACTGACCTCTTTGATCTTCAACGCCCCTTTAAATTCCTTTAAATCTATCTTATTGTCTTCTCCTGCTATTTTCTTAAACTGGGCTTCCATGTGTTCCAGCCATTGGCAGTCCTCATCGCAGCTATGAAATAGATAGTGAATTATATTAAAACTTTCTATCAACTACTACGACTATCAACAACTACCCAGTTAGCTGGAAGCGGACATTAACTTATCATCTACCAACAACTACCTAGTCTGTGATATCAGTTTACTGGAAGGGGATATTAACTTGTCATCTACCAACAACTACCTAGTTTGTGATATCAGTTAGCTGAAAGCGGACATTAACTTGTCATCTACCAACAACTACCTAGTTTGTGATATCAGATAGCTGGAAGCAGACGTTAACATGTCATCACCAACAAGTACCAAGTCTGTAATAATAGTTAGCTGGAAGAGGACGTTAACTTGTCATCTACCAACAACTACCTAGTCTGTAATATCAGTTAGCTGGAAGCAGACGTTAACTTGCCATCTACCAACAACTACCTAGTTTGTGATATCAGTTAGCTGGAGTAAGACGTTAACTTGCCATCTACCAACAACTACCTAGTTTGTGATATCAGATAGCTGGAAGCAGACGTTAACATGTCATCACCAACAAGTACCAAGTCTGTAATAATAGTTAGCTGGAAGAGGACGTTAACTTGTCATCCACCAACAACTACCTAGTCTGTGATATCAGTTTACTGGAAGCGGACATTAACTTGTCATCTACCAACAACTACCTAGTCTGTGATATCAGCTAGCTGGAAGCAGACATTAACTTGTCCACTACCAACAACTACCTAGTCTGTGATATCAGTTAGCTTGAACAGACATTAACTTGTCATCTACCAACAACTACCTAGTCTGTGATATCAGTTAGCTGGAAGATTACGTTCACTTGTCATCTACCAACAACTACCTAGTCTGTGATATCAGTTAGCTTGTCATCTACCAACAACTACCTAGTCTGTGATATCAGTTAGCTGGAAGCGGACATTAACTTGTCAACTACCAACAACTACCTAGTCTGTGATATCAGTTAGCTGGAAGATTACGTTAACTTGTCATCTACCAACAACTACCTAGTCTGTGATATCAGTTAGCTGGAAGCGGACATTAACTTGTCAACTACCAACAACTACCTAGTCTGTGATATCAGTTAGCTGGAAGATTACGTTAGCTTGTCATCTACCAACAACTACCTTGTCTGTGATATCAGTTAGCTGGAAGATTACGTTAACTTGTCATCTACCAACAACTACCTTGTCTGTGATATCAGTTAGCTCGAAGCAGATATTAACTTGCCATCTTCCTCCAACTACCTAGTCTGTGATATCAGTTAGCTGGAAGCGGACGTTAACTTGTCAGCTACCAACAACTACCTAGTCTGTGATATCAGTTAGCTGGAAGATTACGTTAACTTGTCATCTACCAACAACTACCTAGTCTGTGATATCAGCTAGCTGGAAGCAGACATTAACTTGTCATCTACCAACAACTACCTAGTCTGTGATATCAGCTAGCTGGAAGCAGACGTTAACTTGTCATCTACCAACAACTACCTAGTCTGTGATATCAGCTAGCTGGAAGCGGACGTTAACTTGTCATCTACCAACAACTACCTAGTCTGTGATATCAGCTAGCTGGAAGCAGACATTAACTTGTCATCTACCAACAACTACCTAGTCTGTGATATCAGTTAGCTGGAAGCGGACGTTAACTTGTCATCTACCAACAACTACCTAGTCAGTGATATCAGTTAGCTCGAAGCAAATATTAACTTGCCATCTTCCTCCAACTACCTAGTCTGTGATATCAGTTAGCTGGAAGCAGACGTTAACTTGTCATCTACCAACAACTACCTAGTTTGTGATATCAGTTAGCTCGAAGCAGATATTAACTTGTCAACTACCAACAACTACCTAGTCAGTGATATCAGTTAGCTGGAAGCGGACATTAACTTGTCATCTACCAACAACTACCTAGTCTGTGATATCAGATAGCTGGAAGCGGACATTAACTTGTCAACTACCAACAACTACCTAGTCAGTGATATCAGTTAGCTGGAAGCGGACATTAACTTGTCATCTACCAACAACTACCTAGTCTGTGATATCAGTTAGCTGGAAGCGGACATTAACTTGTCAACTACCAACAACTACCTAGTCTGTGATATCAGTTAGCTGGAAGATTACGTTAACTTGTCATCTACCAACAACTACCTAGTTTGTGATTTCAGTTAGCTCGAAGCAGATATTAACTTGCCATCTACCAACAACTACCTAGTTTGTGATATCAGATAGCTTGAAGCGGACATTAACTTGTCATCTACCAACAACTACCTAGTCTGTAATATCAGATAGCTGGAAGAGACGTTAACTTGTCATCTACCAACTACCTAGTTTGTGATTTCAGTTAGCTCGAAGCAGACATTAACTTGTCAATTATCAACAACTACCTAGCTGGAAGCTATTTTGTGTGTTACATTAACTTTTTGGGCTCTTTTTCTTCGATTTTCATTATTTGGTCTCTGAGTGTTAATGAGCTTGTTAATTGTTTTATATTTTATCATCTGTGTTTATCGTTTTGTATGACCTAGTGGAATAAAACAAACTCATGCGTGTTACAGATATTAATACTACGGACAGTTAGTCATTTGCAGTCATTCTAGACACCAGACACCTGACAATAATTTTTATTATGACATACTTCCTCATGTGAAAAGTTTATAAGCCTCAACCAGTGTTTTGCCAATATGTTGTTACGGATTTCGTGTTTTGTTTTGCGGTTTGGTCGTTAGCACTTGGTTAATTTATTGAGACCCAGCCATTCAAAGTTCAATCTAACAGGAAGTCCAAATGTTATATCAAAGTCTAACTAAAAGTTTCCAATATTTTATGTTTTAAGTCAGTCTGAAGTTCTTTGTGCGATTAGATATATGGATATGAATACTGATCTTGCTTATATTATAGATTTTAGATTTTGATACAACTAACCGAGAATCGGGATTTAAATTCAACTTTACTTCCAATCCTTCAGAAAATTATACATGTAGTACAAACACTATTATTCTTTTCACGTGAAAAAAAAATTCCAACCGTGATTGATAGGAAAAGAGAAGAAACAAAACGACCCAGGACCGATTTTGAAACTGACTGAGATGGGGGCGAAAATGAGAGCTGTCTCCTGGATGCGAGGCCTGCAGTACCAAATGCCAGTCGATTCCAGATGGCTTGAGATGAATTTTGAGCATTTGGAGATCTTTCGTCTCACTTCAAAATAAGACCTATCACAGACCCGCGAAGGAGACCATGACCCAATGACCCTCTCCCTAAATATTTGTGAAACGAAGATCAAGATGACACGCGTCAGTACCAGTAGGTCATTTGTCTGCTATAAAAAATTCAAACAATTGAGGTCAAAATAAAAGATTTAGGGTCTCTATTTATTTACATAGATTGTTTTTCTGTTTTAAGTGTGACGTTATCATTTTATAGATTTATTAGGTTTAAATATTGAAATATACTTCTGCTCCTTAATTTTCTCTATAAAATATCCTAAATATAAAAAAAACTTTTACTAATATTGGTCGAGACAGATATTTCAACACTGTGATCGTAATAACGTTGAAGATGACCATCATTTTCTACTAGTATGTGTTAAATACTGTCAGCTCCCAGAGAAATATTTAACACCCATATTTCTTGATTTACAAATTTATATTTATCCCTTCAGATAATATTAGACCCATCTCCCTTTATAGCAAAATACATCTCTTGTGTTTTTTTTTTTTTTTTTTTTTTTTGCTTTTGATGAACGTAACAAAAGACCATGACACCTGTACAATGTTTTATATATTAAGTACATTGTTATTTTGTCTATTTTGCATGTGTCATTATATATCTGTATTATATCTATGATACATTATATCTTTTCATATCATTGTACTGTATACACGTATGCTGCCTACAAAGGACCATGACACCTATACATTGTTATTTTGTATATTCTGCATGTGTCATTATATATCTGTATTATATCTGTAATCATTATATCTTTTTATATCATTGTACTGTATACACGTATGCTGACTACAAGGACCATGACACCTATACATTGTTATACATATTAATTCCAATCATTATTGGGTGGTGGTGGGTGAACTCAATACTCCATTATGCCGCAGGTTGTCAACTTTCAACATTTTCCAGAGTTTACAAAACTGATACTAAAATAAGATAAAAGTTACTTACTTTGGGTCTAGCTCTAAATTAGCCATCTTGACAGCACAGCTTTACTATTTAACTGTGAATCCTTTTGTCGGGCACCTGCTCCACCACGTCACTAACTACAGGGAAATCCGTCTCTTTAACGTGTATCAGTGTATGATCAGGTTTTTTTCTGGTAGACCGAAATCACTGACCTAGGAAAGGTTCTATTGTAAACATACAAGTTTTTCTGGAATAAAAAGATCCACTGGAGTCGGTAATCTGACAGAATTGTTTAAATATGAAAATGAACAAGTCACCCGGTACAAAAAAGACTAGAAAGTCGACAACAGCTTCCTATTCTCATTAATAAAGTTGATCTTTAAATACGCATCAATTATATAGAGCGGTAGTTAAAGGTATACTACCTCTTAGGATGACCAAAAAATTGAAATTTTAAAACTTGGTTAAAATGAATCTTTGTTCATCAGTGGACTTACCTAGTGTCATAACTTTATATTTTAATAAACCCAAAAAAACTAAGTAGCAATTCATTCACTTTGTAATCTTGAAATATGCTAAGAAGTGTGTTTCAATTATTATTTAGTTTAATGGATATATCGTCTTTTCATTCTTTGTTATGCCACCTGGTAAGTCTAACTGATATATACACGTGTTGACCAGGTTTGAGACTGTATGTCCATTCTGAGAGGTAGTATTTCTTTAAAGGTTGATCTGTTACATCGATTACTATATCACTGTTCAGTAAATTATTATTTAGTTTAATGAATTAGTACTTAGTATTATGGATCAGTTTGAAAGACGGATTCTGTTGTCATGTTATGACACTAGATAAGTTCACTTATGAACAAAGCCTAGTTTTAGCCAAGTTTAAAAATGACTATTTTTAGTCATCGTAAGAGGTAATATACCTTTAAAATTATTTTCATTTGATTGGTCAATACATTCTGAAATTGATTTTAGATTTAGTTTTATTATCCAATCATATTTATTTAGTTAAGAAATGAGAATAAGGCCCTTTGATTTAAACTAAATGTTATAAATAAGTAGTCCTACCTTAGATGTTTAAGAAATGTTCATTAACTGTAAGAAATAGAGTCTGTTTCCTGTTAATAAGCTGGTACGTCAACCCGTCTCCTGCTCTATAACCTCATATTCGCTTATAAAAGGAATGGTAAAGAGGTTTTCTAAATTTTGAATGTGTATCGTGGACATTGATGGCATCAATTTGCGCCATTCCAATTTTCAATCTTACGTCTGTTGTTCTAAAACTAAGTGTTTTATGACGTCACAACCGCAGGTGAAGCAAATTTCACGGAGGTGGCGTCATTAAACACTTCAATTTATTGGAATTGCAGGAACCACTGAAGTGAAGTGGTGCAAATCAGTGTCCCCGATACGCTGAAACAACTTTACTATTAATTTAGATAATTTCGTTCTAGATATACATGTTATATATTAGTATCTATATTATAAACTATATTATGAATTCTAGCAACCAAATTATGTAAGATTCCACGATCTGTTCTATTTGTTAGTCGATGTGTGAAATAACATAGACTTTTAGTTTTAAAGATGCACAACCGACATTTCATTGATTTGGGCATTGAATTTTCATAGCCTTCTTTTCACACTTTATTGGAATAGTGAAATGAAATGGAATTCGCCCTCTTTTCACACTTTATTGGAATAGTGAAATGAAATGGAATTCGCCTTCTTTTCACACCTTATTGGAATAGTGAAATGAAATGGAATTCGCTTTCTTTTCACACCTTATTGGAATAGTGGAATTCGCCTTATTTTCACACCTTATTGGAATAGTGAAATGAAATGGAATTCGCTTTCTTTTCACAACTTATTGGAATAGTGAAATGAAATGGAATTCGCCTTCTTTTCACATCTTATTGGAATAGTGAAATGAAATGGAATTCGCCTTCTTTTCACACCTTATTGGAATAGTGAAATGAAATGGAATTTGCCTTCTTTTCACACCTTATTGGAATAGTGAAATGAAATGGAATTCGCCTTCTTTTCACACCTTAATGGAATAGTGAAATGAAATAGAATTCGCTTTATTTTAGAGAAACATTTTTTTAAACACCAATCAGTTCACCAAATAAAATGAGACTTATATAATTCTATTCTTATCACATTAACGTTTGATTAAATTTGTAATCATCTCAAATATATTGAAAAAATGAATAATGTAATGCTAAACTTAAAGTTACTCTGGACCGACTGTAACGTTTAATTCTATTTGTAAATCAGTAGAAATTCCCCTTGTCGCTCTTGAGGGTTTCAAATGGACATCTTTTTAGATTTGGTGGCATTGCCTTATTAAATAAAATGACTTATCACGGAGCGTCTGGGACTATTTGCATGTTTTTTCATGGAGGACGAATTAAATCCAAGCAAATACATGACACAACGATGAATTTCATATCAAATTAATCTGCCATTTATTTTGTTCTACCGGAGACTAGGAAAAATATAGATATCTTGTATCTTACTCTTGGTTATCAGGTAAGGAGTTTCGAACTAGAACAAATCCACATTGAATACGACAGTGACGAAAGTGTAAAAATGAAATCTGCTTAGTGACCAAGCTTTTAGACTCTTTTGTCATATATAGAATTGGTATAGTGTGCGGTTCGTTTGGAAAAAAAAGTTAAATATATAGCCTATGTTAATAATCTTCAGAAGTACTAGAAATGTACAAAAATCACATAATTCCTTTATAAAAGCCCCAAACTAGGAATTTTACTCACTATTTCTGTATAATATGTCTTTTCTATATATCACAGAGTATCTTTCAAATGCTTATAATTCTGGACACACATGAATTTGAAGGCTCAAACTTCGACGATGAGCTATGAACACTATAACTGATTGGCTTAGCTAAAAATCCCCTTTTCTCAGACTAAATTATGATCTTATTGTACCTGTTAAATTTTAATGTAATGTATGAATAAACCATTTATCTCTTGCATGTTCTTAATAATAAGCATTAATATATATATATAGTTTGCCCATCACTACTTGTCATTATGTGTCTGAGAACGACGGGGAAAAACACGTCGAAACGTTGCATAAAAACTTTAACCTGTAGTGATTGTTGTTCCATAAAGCTGTATCTATATAAAGTATGATTTGTCAAAAAAATGGCACATCTCTCCCTTTAAAATAATTCTGATATTTTCTAGTCTAATTTTATTTGGTATAAACGCGTCTTTATATTTTTGTAATGCGATACAGGTTTACTTGGTTGGTTAAACAAATTACAAACAATATCATTTTTAAGAAATAGGCCTAACAAGTAACAAGCTTCGGTTATTGACCAAGGCTTATTTAAAAAATGCGGGAGAGAGTGCAAATATACAGATGTCTCCCCGAGGCAAATCTTGAAGGGCCGAAGACGCTGGAAGAAGCAATATTTAGAGCGCTAATGAAACATCAAAACGCCTACACAATGCTGTGTGATACAGGCGGGAATACATGAAGCTTAATGGAACAGGATTTCGGCAATATTTCGTAGAGTAAAACTGTAATTTGATACATGAATGCTCCAACTTGTTTTTTGTTTGTTTTTGATTTTGTACTCTCAGCCTTCACGGTCGTGGTATTCAACTTTTGAATGAGTTTATATTGAAACTTGATATTCTGTTGAATTTCAATAAAAACTTTCTTTACAATTATTCTTGGTACAACAAATTTTAAAAAAGGCCCCCGATTGGCCCATTTGTCTCGACGGGCTAAAACTTTCCAAAAGCCACCATTTACAGCTGGGTCTACAATTAAAATATTTTCTAGCTGAACACCCATTTACAGGTGAGTTGAGGGAATACATTCATCAGATGTTTCCTAGCTGAATTATCTGTGTTATTTACAGGTGATTTGACGGGAATATTGCAAGCAAATACCAGACATTAATTAACATTGTAAACATATATGATATAAAATAGCGTATAGAATATGAATAATTATATATCGTTCAAACATCGATCTAGAGTTGAGCTGATGGTCTAATAATTACTTGCCATATTGTACTTTTTGAATGTATAGTTCGATAAGATTAGATGATATTTGCTTCAATTGTCAGATGCCACTTTGGACATCTGTAGACTAGACTTGGATCATCGTCACAATGTCAAGACATTACGAACTTCGTCTTATACCTTGACTGCAATAGCCACCCTTCTTGTAAGAAGGAAGTTTGTATTTGCAGCGACATCACTCCATCTTCACGATATCAAGCTATAACGAACTGTGTCTTATATCTTGACTGCAATGGCTACCTTTATTGTATTAGGGAAGATTGTAAAATTGATAAATGCGATTGGATTGTACGTTACCGTCTACAGCAAATCAGAGCCACGAAAAAAAGACTGTAAACAATTTGGCCTAGCGTGTAATTCGGTAACGTATAATTCAATCAAATCGTTTCGTGTTTCCCGTTCGTAATAACATTGTGAATGTTAAGATGTAATTGAGTAGGCTAATGCTGTTGTCCAAGCAAACTTTTCATTACTGTGCACTGCATGGCGTTGGTCAACTTCATAAGCCCAATCAGTTACAGCAATAAATCTCTTTTTTTTTATTGTTTTTAAGTTTTATTTGTCACACGTGCACGCTAGATTTCAAATTTCCCAAGCCTGCATTGACAGACTAAATACTAGAATAAGAACACACACACACATGAATTTGATTTATCAATTTATGACCGAATGAATCCAATCTACATATTGCGATACTCTGGTTGACACCGCTGGGTATCGGCTAGGTTCGTTACGACTTGTGAAAGATACCACGCCAACCAAAACAGACTCGCCGTCTTTATCACAAACCAACGGACTGCCACTGTCGCCCTGGAATGAATGAATGCACGAATATGTATATGATGGATAAATGAAAACACGAACGAACGAACTGGTTAACGAATGGTTGACATATGGGTAAATTTGAGAAATAGGTCATTCAAGTATAATAACTATCAGAGACTAGGTAAGAGTCAGCAAGTTTCAGACTAGTATAATAACTATCAGAGACTAGGTAAGAGTTAGCAAGTTTCAGACTAGTATAATAACTATTAGAAACTAGGTAAGAGTCAGTAAGTTTCAGACTAGTATAATAACTATCCGAGATTAGGTAAGAGTCAGCAAGTTTCAGACTAGTATAATAACTATCAGAGATTAGGTAAGAGTCAGCAAGTTTCAGACTAGTATAATAACTATCAGAGATTAGGTAAGAGTCAGTAAGTTTCAGACTAGTATAATGACTATCAGAGACTAGGTAAGAGTTAGCAAGTTTCAAACTAGTATAATAACTATCAGAGATTAGGTAAGAGTCAGCTAGTTTCAGACTAGTATAATAACTATCAGAGATAAGGTAAGAGTCAGCAAGTTTCAGACTAGTATAATAACTATCAGAAACTACGTAAGAGTCAGCTAGTTTCAGACTAGTATAATAACTATCAGAGATAAGGTAAGAGTCAGCTAGTTTCAGACTAGTATAATAACTATCAGAGACTAGGTAAGAGTTAGTAAGTTTCAGACTAGTATAATGACTATCAGAGATTAGGTAAGAGTCAGCAAGTTTCAGACTAGTATAATAACTATCAGAGGCTAGGTAAGAGTCAGTAAGTTTCAGAATAGTATAATATCTATTAGAGACTAGGTATGAGTCAGCTAGTTTCAGACTTGATATCGAAGTGGCGAATATCGACTGCCGCAGACTTATAAACAAGTCCCAGCTGTCAGTCAATATATCACGTGATTGATAAAATCGTATTTAATAAAAAGTATCCACTTAATTGAAGAATTTAGCCAATGCTGATTGGATGATAAAGTGGGTTATTTTCTGATAAGAAATAAGTTAATCCATATATCACTTACTGCACAGACACCGACACCCCCATTTCTATACCCAGCACAGACTCTATTATCCATATTTATCATATGATACTGATCTCGACACTGGTCGTTACTATAAATAGGTAGTCTTAATAGACGGGCAGTAGATGATGGTCCGTCACCTGAAATCAAAAATTGGATAGAAAGGGAAGTAAATATGTATTCTCATAGGGGAGGCTAGTAAGACAATCACTAGGCCTCTTTATTCCTTTAAAATACCAAAAAAACACAAAAATGCTTCACCTTGAGAGGTACATCCCCATCCTTGAGTTACACAATTCTGTCCAACAGTTGGAAAAGAGTTATCTCCCTGGTCTGGTAGATTTATTCGTCTTATGGGGGAATAGTCGTCACCAGAGGGCACTGGTCGCTTCAGATGAACAAGAGCTATGTCATTCTTCCATGAATCTGAAATAGATGATAAATGGTACCTCAAAATGAATGAACGAGTAAATAATAAATGGATGAATAAATAAATGAATGAATTAATGATGAATATATGAATGCACGAATGAATGAATGGACTAATGAATGAAGGAATAAATGAATGTTTTAGTGAATAAATGAATGAATGGACTAATGAATGAATGAATGAATGTATGAAGCATGCAATATGTTTTTGATCCTCTCAGAGTAAATCCATATACGTATAAAATGGCTAGTAAGTTTTCTTTCTCACGAAATCTATGATTTCGCTCATATATTGTTAGAGTCAGGGCTAGGGTTAGGAAGAGTTTTCATTCATACATCCAAGAAATATTCGTTCATTATTTGAATACATTTTTTTTCATATGTTCAATAATATATTTCCTTTTTTAATATCGAGTATGTTTGTGATTGTATATTGATCAGGTAAGATTTAAGCCTCCCATCGCCAGTTACACCGACACCTCTGGCGATTAGTCCAAAAAATTCAACCTCTGATAGCTATTTTTAAGATGATCAGTTACTCCAGGCGATAACTTTCAAAATATCCATCAGAGACTGGAATAGAGGTAGATATTTCGGACTAATCGCCAGTGTACATTTAAAAATAAGTCAGTACTATTACCTTCAGAATCATACTCTGGATGAACTACAAGTCTATCAGCAGTTATCTCCCATTGCACCCAATCTGAACGATCAAATAGCTGACCCAACACATGGCGAACTCTTTCTAAAGGGTCCATCTGTAAAATCAAAAAGGTTTATGTTTGTTTTATTGGGATAATGAATTCAATTGCTTTTTGTCTCAACTGACATTGCCATCGGTGCCGAATGTCGCCTTATTTCTCCCGACTCGTCAGATACAGAGTTAGCTAGGCAAATAAACAATGTGGTAAGAACCAACAAAAACTGGGTACCAGTAGAATAAGTTAATGTCTCTGGTCGTCTAAATCAAGATTTCCAGAAACAAAAATCAAGATTTCCAGAAACAAAAATCAAGATTTCCAGAAACAAAAATCAGGATGGCAAATAGCAAAAATTAAGATTTTCAGTTGTCAGGAATGCCATAACTGTTAAAACAATCAAATGATGGCAAATAGCTCAAATTAGTGTTGTCAAAAACCATATTGGCAAGAGCCAAAATGAAGATTGTGAGTAACCAAAGTACTAAAAAAAACAGGGTACCACAGTAGCTAAAAAAAACGTAGGTACAAAAGAAATAAAGCTTGCGAATGAATAATTCTCACCCTTAAATTAGATGTTGCTAATCTTACTTTCCATCTTTGGATTCGTCTAGCCTCACTTCTGTAATAAATCAAAATCAAAATTTTAGCTCAGCGTAGTTTTAGACCAGTAATTGTAAAGCCATCAGAAGGAAGGTCGCCTTGGAGTCGGGATTTAGTACACACCAATAAGCTGCAGTGACTCAACAAGGTGTGAGGACTTGTTTCTTCCAATCTCTGTGATAGTTGAGCTAGTGAAAGGATGGTGACTATGCTGGTACACAAGATTATATCCAAATCTGGTAATTTGTCCAATAAACGTGATGGCTTTCCAGCTAGGTGGGACATCTTGCCTATCTAGATATATATCTTAAAACATGATCTTTTTTTTTAAAATGTCGATGATTCCAGGCGGTACATGTTACCTTCTAGTCTGTAAAAGCATGTCTATGTATCTGGTGGTATTATAGAACACTGTCTTTTCTAAAAACGTCGATGATTCTGTAGGCGGTAAATGTTATCTTATCTGGCTGCATTCTAACCGCCTTACCCTCGCGGTGTCTCCAGGTAGGACATGCTCACCTACCCTCAGATATAGAACGACATGCTTACTCACCCCTCTTCTTTAAAACAATGGGCAGCAGTGACGATCCACCTGTCATTCAGAACTGATCCACCACAATAAATATGTTTATGTCGTATTGGTATAATACCAAAAAGTTTATGTGTAACAATTGTGGCACGTAGTAAAACTAACCATGGGTAGCGTCCCCTTGATATCGGTCTTCCACCGATAGCTCTTGCGAATCTTTCCTTTTCACTACCTACAACGAATTCAATTTTAGAAGAACGCACATAAATTGTTATTGCCGTCGGTGATGTAGTGTCCTCCTTGGTCTTATGAAAATCGAATAGGATAGTTAAAATTTATCCTCATCTTTGCACGTTTCCTAAACATTAAGGTTTCTGTTTCATATTACTAAACTTAAACGAGTTTTCTGATAACAAACAGTTTTACGACACTGAATTTGAATCAATTACGTGGTAGACATTTTTCAAATTTTTAATTCTCAAAAGTTGCCCTAAGAAACTATCTAGGGCCTTGTCCAACTCGCTTATATCTGTGGTCTCTAGATTCATTCGGTTCCCTCCCTGTCAGCGATGCAGGTAAGAGGGACTGACATGGAAAAAGCGTCTTGTCGTTTGGACTAGACAATAAAGGAGGCCCCGTGTGCTACAGGCTGCGCACGTTAAAGATCCTTCGACAGTTGGAAATCGAAAAAGTGTAGGCTAATACCGGTGTCCTGGCAAAATTTCCCTCATTGCACATTTACCCTGCATGGCGTTGCCTGTCCTCATTAGCCCACATGGTGCAGAAAAGTAGGACGTAAAACTCCATTCATTTCATTTCATTTTATTGATATCTGTGGTCGAAATGGATTTACAACCCTCTCTACGTTCTGTTACATTCAAGACAATTCATCAAGCAGTGTACACTAAAGTAAACAGTTTAATTGAACAGCGAGATGCAACTCTACATTGTTTACCATGGCGGGGAGTTCACCTGTCAACTCACACTTAAGAATAACATGTTTTATTTACTTATAATTCCTTAATTAGCTTGTTTTCACTATCAGTCTTAAATTATCTGAGTCAAATTATACGGAGTTTTAGAGTTTTAGTCGTCTAAGTCTAATGTAATGTAGGTGCAAAAATTTTGAACATCAACATCTGGCGCAAAGTTCTACAATAATTCAATGGAATGTGTGGTGGATGTTGAACTGTCCTCTCATCTAGGCTTTATTAACAGTAACACGTGAGGTTATTACCAATATTATGTCATAATCTATACGTTAGAAGGCCGATAACAGTCCAAGAATCTAATTCTCCTACAAGCGTCACACAAGAAATCAGATTGTTGTAAAATAAAGCTTAAAATGTCAGTTTTATACATACAAAAACTAGAAAATCATCAGAATGGTGTAAATTGTTCAAGTTTCACACATTCACAAGCAAAGGACAACCAAACCCTTTTAAATTAACAAGGTAGCAGCCTATTTCAGTATATTTATAATTGAAAAGAGATGAATAAATCACATACCTAAAACATTGTTAAATCCAGCTAGAATTAATGTTGGTAAAATAGTCCATAGTAATACAGAGATCTTCATTGTTCCATACAGAGGTACGCCACTGTTAGTACATTCAAACTAGAAATATATCCCATTCACCTTTAAACATGTACCTTCAAAATAATGAAGCACTTTTACAAAAGACCGTCGTTTTCAATTTGAATATTTTAGTCCAAATTTGCACAATGGATAAAACTAAAGTTGAAAAGCCGAAAATTAATAGTTGTTCCAAATACCTGAACGAACCTGACTGTGTTTTATTGGGATCTTACGTTAGGTTATAACTGACAACAAACCCCAGGGGATCTCCAAAGTTACCAGTTGCTGGTATTTGACTTCAATCAGTAATAAATCAAGAGTATCTAAAAGGTAAGATGCCATCATCCCGTTGACAAATCTTCATCTAGTAATTTCTCCAATAAACGTGATGGGTTTCCAGACAGGTGGGACATGTTTCCCTATCTAGATATATCTTAAAACATGATCCAATTATTCCCTCTTTGCACACAGTAAATCGTATTAGACCTTCATTAGTTCAAATAACTAGCAGATAGGTACGACGTAAAACTCCATTTCTGTTTGATTAAAATCCCAAAGAAATGAGCCCTCTTACCTTCTGATACACGCAACACAATTGACACTAATTCGAACATTAAATCATTTCAAAATCGGAAAACTTCATCTGGCTGTCTTTCCGCTAGTAATGAGTCAGAGACTAAAGTTTTCTCAACCATAAGGTCAAGTAGTTTCACCCTCTTTTTAATGTACGTACTGTCTTCGTTTAAAGGAAAAAAGTCGTATAGTTTTCAAATGACCTGGTTTTTAGCAATGCCGTTTAAGCCAGGACTTCTTATCAATAAACAGATCAGACGTGGATCATTTCAAATACTAACAATACATACCGTGCAATGGTTACGTACAAGGGTGCTGATTGGAGGGTTTAAAAATCACGTGACTTCATGAATATTTATGAACTCTGTCCCTTATACGAGATTTACTTGCTAAAGAGAAACACGGCAGAAATATGTGACGTTGAAGAGACGATGTCAATACACTCTATCCCCTGCTGTCTGTCCAGATTGAATCAACAGCACTATTTAAATCATTGAAATGAATGGCGAATCACCTTTTACTTCGTGTTTAGATACAACAAGTAACAGTGTTTTAGTAACAACAAATTTAGCATCAGAATTTCCACGTTCAAATTTCTCGACTACCATACTTTAAAAGGGCGAATTACTCTAAGTTTTCAGTCCTGTAATTATACTGTTCTATATTGGCTTCCGGTGGAGGATGTTGAACTCAAGTGCACTGTGTAACTCTTGATGCAAACTGAAGTTGTTCAAAAAGATTCAAGTCTGGATCACTGCATATTTTAAAAGTGGAATAATGCAAGGGCAACGATGAACTAGTATGCTGCTATGAGACGGAAGAATTTTTTGATCGTCTGTGATATAGCTAAAAAAAACCCGCTAAAAACAGTACCAACACCAACAATTATCTGTGAGAAAGAACACCATCATTCATTGCCAAGATATTACATTAATTGTGGTCTAAATAAAATAACCTTGATTACTTCCCTTGATTAGTAAGCTCGCGACAGAAATTTGTTTCGACGGGTCATAAGGCTATAATGGGCTCATAAAGCTATGTTGGGTAATACTAGAGATATTTTTATTCGTATAAAGCTATATTTGATTGTATAAATCTATATTAGAGTTGTGTAAGGCTATATTGGTTTGTATAAAGCTATATTTGTTTTTGTTTTAGGCTATATTAGAGTTGTATAAGGCTATATCAGGGTTTGTAAGTTTATAATTGGTTGTATAAATCTATATTAGGGTTGTATTAAGCCATATGTGGTTGTATAACGCTATATTACGGTTGTATAAATCTATATTAGGGTTGTATAATTCAATATTATGGTGTATGAATCTATATTAGGGTTGTATAAATCTATATTAAGGTTGTATAATGCTATATTATGGTGTATGAATCTATATTAGGGTTGTATAAGGCTATATATGGTTGTATAAGACTATATTAGGGTTGGTAAGTTTATAATTGGTTGTATAAATCTATATTAGGGTTGTATAAAGCTATATTAGGGTTGTATAAATCTATATTAGGGTTGTATAAGACTATATTAGGGTTGTATAAAGCTATATTAGGGTTGTATAAGACTATATTAGGGTTGTATAAAGCTATATTAGGGTTGTATAAGACTATATTGGGGTTGTATTAAGCTATATTAGGGTTGTATTAAGCTATATTAGGGTTGTATAAAGCTATATTAGGGTTGTATAAATCTATATTAGGGTTGTATAAGACTATATTAGGGTTGTATAAAGCTATATTAGGGTTGTATAAAGCTATATTAGGGTTGTATAAAGCTATATTAGGGTTGTATAAAGCTATATTAGGGTTGTATAAGACTATATTAGGGTTGTATAAAGCTATATTAGGGTTGTATGAATCTATATTAGGGTTGTATAAAGCTATATTAGGGTTGTATAAAGCTATATTAGGGTTGTATAAAGCTATATTAGGGTTGTATAAAGCTATATTAGGGTTGTATGAATCTATATTAGGGTTGTATAAAGCTATATTAGGGTTGTATAAAGCTATATTAGGGTTGTATAAAGCTATATTAGGGTTGTATAAAGCTATATTAGGGTTGTATAAAGCTATATGAGGGTTGTATAAAGCTATATTAGGGTTGTATAAGACTATATTAGGGTTGTATAACGCTATATTATGATGTATATTGTTATGTTGGGTCATACAAGCGTATGCTTATGTATAAAGCTATTTGAGTTTATATTAAGAATATAGGGTTGTATGAAGCTATATTGAGTTGTATAGCGCTTTTGCATAAAGCTGTAATGGGCTGTATAAAGCAATTTAAAGCTAAATCTGTTTGTACAAGGCTATTGTATAAAGCTACATTTGTTTGTACAAGGGTATTGTATAAAGCTACATTTGTTTGTACAAGGGTATTGTATAAAGCTATATTTGTTTGTACAAGGCTATTGTATAAAGCTACATTTGTTTGTACAAGGCTATTGTATATATTTGTTTGTACAAGGCTATCGTATAAAGCTATATTTGTTTGTACAAGGCTATTGTATAAAGCTATATTGAGTTTACAAGGCTATTGTATAAAGCTATATTTGGTTGTACAAGGCTATACAGGGTTGTCTATGAATGAGTAGGAGGCAGGGTTAATCTTAGGAATTACTCGAAGTAATCAAACGGAAATTCAAATCTTCATCATCAATTCCTCTTGAAGGAAAATCTTTCTATGAATATTCAAACAAGAGGAAGCCATTGTGATGACTATCTGTACCTCCATCGATTTCGGTTGAAGAGTCATGAATAACATCTGCCTCGTGACGTGACATCGACAAGAATTTCAACGTTTGATGTTTTATATTGGGTTTATACTTTTCAGTATTGTTAGTGGAATTATGAATTAACTGAATTTTAAACAATATCAAATTTCGTACTTCCGGTGGTGTTGTTTGCTTTTAATACAAACTTTTAGACGCGACGCCAACAACTATTGTACGTTTAGATGACAGGCAGGAACCACGTGTACCTATCCAAATCACAAACCATAAGTCAAATACAACAAACCACGAAATTAAAGAGGTAAACATGCACTTCAAAAGCCATTCTGGATCATGTAAAAAAAGAAATGAATGACCTTATAGATATTATTACGTTATCACTCACCCTTCCAAAACGCATTATATATCGAAGTTAACGTTTAAGTGGTTGTATCGTGTGCGCAACGCGCAGCCATGTATGCACTAAAAGACCATCGCTTTTTATCCAGTTTCTATTATATATACGAACAGCATGCTTAAATGTCCTAGAAGATTTTATAAAACAATTTGAAACTTGCCAACATAAGGATGGTACTGGAATGAAAGAATTATCAAAACATGTTATATTGTAAAATACGTCTATTTACATACATAGCGGGACTACAGTTCCCCGATTCAGGACAGGGGGAATAAACCTTTTTCTCTCTATTTTCAGGATCCTTGATCGATAGCATTACCCCCCAATTATAATTGAGTTCAACAATCTTTCTAACCATTTGATGACCGACGCAATGACGGTTGTAAATAGGCTACAACTAAATTCCTAATAAATTGATGACTCTGTCTGACCCGAACTAGAAGAGTTTACAAGTCGCTGCTAATTATGAAACGTTTGACGGTAATAGAAGTCAATTATCGATGAAAAATCGAAGTCGAAAGATACAAGTCAATTAGCATGCGAGAATAAAGTACCTGATCTATTTTCTCTGTTATGCAAACATGTTTTTAGTTTCTGGTTGAGTGAGTTAAATTGATGTGTAATTGGTAACAAGGTTTCGACTTAATACAAGTCTAGCTCTCTTGATGGGAGAATCGCGTCTTTTCTCCTAATCGATATTCAGTTTTATTATTCCTCCTGACTAACTCACCCAATCTTTTATACGCTTAGTTTGTTTTTTATCGTCTTTATGATAATATTTTTACAGCTAAGAAAGTGGAGAAGATAGGGAGAAAGACAAAACAATGATATGCACGACAAAACTTCCATAAAACGAATATAAGATCGTGCAAATTCCCCAAAGTGCAGGATACATTATCTAGAAAATTAAAATTTGATTTTCAATTTAAACATGGACATACTTCAGAATCTCAATGAATGCATGAAAAGCTTGAAAAAAATGATAACTGTCCTATCCGAACGAAAGGACACTATTTTCAAAATACACTATTGTCGCTCGGATGGGACACTAGACTGTGACCCTATAGCGTATAGAGTCAAAAATGGCTATTGACCTTATCTTCATCGTCTTACACCTTCTGGTTTCACAGAAGTTTGTGAATGATAGGGATTTGATTGGATTGTACGTTAGCGAATGCAGCATATTAGAGTCCTCGACAGATACAATAAACCATAATCCAATCAAATCCCTGCACTCCTTGATACAAGAAAGGCGGTTATTGCAGTCAAAGTGTCAGACGAAGTAATAGCTTGTGAAGAGGCCTCAACCTATGTCAAGTTGACTGAAGACCTTTAAGACATAAGAAGATGGTGATTTTCAGAGAGCCAAGTCAAAGGGGAAGAATATTATCCGAAGCTGGTCAAGCGTATATTGGACTAGACATTGCACTAAGTGGAATTTGACAAGCATGACTCTACCACGACGTCTCTCATACTTTACAAAGCTAACCACGTCAGAAACACTTTTTATTTTTTTTTATCTAAACTCTGGTTTGAAAAAATCACATGGCACACTGAATGGGACTCTTAAAAGCACACTCATTGCGCAATGCATGGCATTATTCTTGTTCATTATTCACCTGATCGGGCTGATGAAGACAAGTATGCTCAATGGATTTAATGTTCAAAAATCATCCTACCCGGTTTAAAAGCAAAATCGGAAATTTGATGGAATAGTTAAATTGATTAACAATGGTTTCAAGCAAAATATTAATTTCTGTCTTTGGGTTACTCTGGATTTCGTCTTAATTAAGAAACCAAGCACTAACAGTCCGAATCGCAAAACGAAACCCGATATCAAAAACAATTTAATGGCGAACATTGGTTGCAGATATGAACTTATCACAGGAAGAGGTATATCAATCATAAGTCAGTAAGTATTTCATAATGAAAAGGTGGATTCTTGTCAATGGAAATAGTACCCCAAGAATCCTGTGATAGAAATAATATGAAAAAGGACAATTCAATGGTTTCTAGGCAGTTAACGAATTCCGCGACATAATCTCTCCGCCTGCCAAGAATCACACAAAACATTTATTGGTTGACGGGAGTTCTTCTAAAGCTTCTTCTGCATGACCTTTCATAGAAATTATGGACGGAAACGGGTAAAATTCAAATTCATTCCGAATGATTGACGAACGTCTTGGTTGTAATAATCAATTGCTTAAATCGATTGAAAGATATTCAAGACTTCTCGGCGACCTGCGATTAGATATCCTCATTTTTTCCACTCATACTCTCGAATCATAAAAGCATTTTAAAAGCTAAAAGGGGTTGATTGGTAAGTTTCCGGTGTCGACAGCTTAACTGTATAACGCTTTTTCTCAACTTTCAATATTCATGGCCAATCGGTGACTGCCGTAGCGATAAAAACGTCATACGTTTTAAACCGAAATCGATATTCAGACGTAGAATTAATAATATAATAATACAATTTAATTTTGTATATTGAGTTGGAGAGGCTAATAAATTATAAAACTTATAAGGATTTTTGTTTTCTGTAACTTATAGGGTTTATTGTAAAAATATTTTCACAGTTAAAAAAGTGTTCAATACATCAATTTTAGAGCAAAATATTAAAACCGAACGTTAAACTCGCTGTTCCTCAATATTCAGACAACTGATCTCTTTCAGCCCGTGTCCCGGAAGAAGTTTGAGATAAAGTACTTTTAGGTTTCTGTACATGGTATCTCAAGCTTATTATTGTGTGCTGGTGGATTTTGATTTAGTATTAGAAGGTTGAAATAAACTTTGCATAACACTTCTTTTATACCATTAAATCCCTCTTTGTTTCATTATTGTACAATTCTGAAACATGTTTGTGGCAGGGTCGAGTAAGGTTGATTTGTTTGTTGTTTGTGGTGTTTTGACGACCTGTTCCGACGTCAAGTTAATCGTTAATAACGACACGTGTCGAGTAAAGACAAACAAATTAAAACATGCCAATTAATTCTTGGCTTTTTATTCTTCTAATTTCTAATATTTTCTTATGAAATGTGCGTGATTTGATTGCTATATGATAACAAATAAAAGGCTTCGCAGTAGAAGTTTGCAGCTAATTATGTGGTATATTTTTAAACATGTATAAGATAGTCTTACACAGAGATATAACTGGGTATTATGGCGAAAAAGTTTTGAAAACGAAAAATATTGGCCATGATATCGGTCTTCGGGAAACTAGTATACCTCCTCTCTCCCACTTTGGACTAACCAACAAGTAAAGTTCTCATATCCAGATTTTCAATCGACATTTCATTGTCCCAGTTTTCGAAGCTCAACACATTGAAGCAGGGCCTGTGGCTACAGGGGGGCAATAGGGTGTAATGCCCCTCCATATATGAAGTCTGGCTACGGGTCTCCTTTGAAGCCATTAAACCTCTACCTTTCAAACCTTTTACATTTACTCCCCCCCCCTCCCCCAGTTAACTAGTTACGAGTCAACCTAAATCCACGGATGTGGTACTTAGGGCTATCTTTATATTTTCACTTGTTGGATTTCTATTTAGAGTTCAAGTAGAGCTAGCTTTTTCCAGTTTGCAATGAATGAAATATTCTGTTAATAAAATACTCGTCCATTTGAAGACCTATTATAGAGACAGGCGATACATTAATCGTTAACAAGGGCGAGATGTTGACACAGCCTCGACCCCCACTCGTGCCTAACAAAACGACCCCCAACCACCTACCAGTGCCTAACAATGTAACAGTTTATCAATGGCCCGCCAGCCGTTCCATCTGAAGACTCAATAATACTAGGTGTTGTATTAATCGGTTAAAACCATTTATTTCGACCAATTATCACCGCTGTCTTATTAATTAATGTAATTAACAGCAGTCACGTGACTTTATAATGCAATATCTGATTAAGCATTGGTGCACGACTGGAACTCATGACGTCAGCACGTCCAAAGGTACGACAGAAGAGTTGCTGGAAGAATCGATAGCACCGTTATTGAATGCCAATTAATTTACACCGGCTTAAAGACGGCGGAAAA